CGGGCTCGCGGGTCCACTGGTTCACCTGCTGGCGGGTCCGCGGGTCTGCTGGTTCATTGGCTGGCGGGTCCTTCGGCGGGTGATGCACTGGGGCGCAGCGGTCGACGGGATGACGCAGCGCGGGCGGGCTCGCGGATCCGATGGTGGGTCACGGACGGGGTTGCAGGCGCGTGGGCGAACGCGCTGGCGGCCGCTAGCGTTTTTGCTGGCGCATGGCGACTAGCAGGGCCATGACGAGGCGACGGACGGCAGCACGGGTAGCGCGCGGGCGACTAGCTGCAGAAGGGCAGCGCGACGAGTATATCGTCGTGGTGCTCACGAGGCACACTACGGGCTGCGCCACAACGAAGGCTAGCGGTGGGCCCATAGGATCTAACGCTCTGTTACCATGTTACGAGACGATCTTAGTTGGTAACCGGGTTTAACTAGGGCCTAGGCTTAGAAGCCTAGGCAAGGAGGTATCGAGCGTGTTTGTGCCAAGGAGATTTGAGAATGGAGTGATTCACTAAGAGAGAACCAAACAACATATAGGTCAAAGCAAGGGTGCACCACCAACAGCAAGGTAACATAACTACACCAAAGCTAAAACTGTAGGCAGTTATAAACATATATAAAACATACAAGCCCACGACACTTGGGCTTGTTCAAGTTGTTTTTGGCTGAGAAATTCACCAAGGGATTTCCTTGAAGGAGAGAACAAAAAACATAAAGAGAAACAAGAACAACTACTTCTGGTTTTTATGTATGTACAGTGCTTACATTCCAGAAATGCGGCTCGGGATGCCGATTCGGGTGGCCAGCCCCGACATCGAGCCGCATTCTATTTCTATTTACACTTGTACATCTCACTGCTATCCCACACGTGTTACAATCCCAGCCTTCCAATTACGGAATTCTGCCACATGTCCCACACCGCACTTATATAAGACATATATCGCGACATCCAGCGCATCCGACTGCGAAGTCGGCTTCGCCCCAAGCGAGGACGGGGCCATTTTTCCATCAGCAGTAGAGTCCTCATTCTTTGGTGATAACACACCTTTACCGCCACTTGCCGCCTCTTTGTATCGTGCCATTCCCTAATCTGCTATCTCTTGATACACCGTGCAGTGCGCTCTGTGGCGGTGGCCATTCTCGTCTACACTGTGGGGCAACATCCACCGCGCCGTTCCACTTGACATCTTGCATGCTGTTGACGAGGATTCGATGAAGTGCATGTTGGCCACACTTACCCCATCTAAGAAAAGGATCTTACAAATGTAAGCAAAAGGAGGAGAGGCTGAACTAAGCATCAAGTTACGCTCTGATTTGTGGGCTAACTTGAATGCACTCACATATGTCCTCCTGTATTTCCCCAACCCTGTTATCAACACAGGCGCTACATCAATGTCCGTGATCCTGCCGTCCATGATGTGTACCCCAAGCACCACGACCTTCGTCGCCACAACGGCGTCGTTCTCAGCTGCAGAACACAGGGGCATGATGCAGGCCATGGCCCTCATAACCCATCTCCCAGAGCGCAAAGAAGTGGCGCGAGCGACGATACCAGGCGCGTTAGGTGCTGCGCTGGATGCTGCTTCACTTACAATCAAGCGGTTTCAGTGCAATTTATCATACTAATCTGTTCTATTTAGCAATGTCATTCCCAAGACAATATTGAACCCTTTATTCGAAATAGGCATTACGACTGTTATCTCCAACCCTGGCTACCGCAGCACCCCACCTTAAATTGCACTTTTATTGGCCTTTCTCTAGATGGTTCTTGAGTCGACTTACAATACAACTTCTTCCATCCCCTCTTCTTGCTCCTGCTCAACCTGAGCTCACGAATCCTTTCTTTCTGTCATCTCAGAACTAGTTTAGAAGTAACTCAAAGCATGAACATTTATTTCATGGCAATCCAAACTAACCCCCCTTTCCCCTCCCCCACAACCCCACCCCCCCCCCCCCCCCCCACACGCATATCTGTCCTCCGCTAATTTCATTTTTTGTTGTATTCATCCCCCTCATCATGCGTCAACTCTAACCGTTCAATCTGAGCCAGCTGTCACCATCCAATGCACACTACCGTAAGATCACAGTCCCCCATGTTAAAAGGCTGTCTACGGCAGGACTAAGCAGTCCTCTTCATGACTCCTTATGGGAGAAAGCATCCTTCCAGTGCCCTGACTGCTGCTCAAACCGCGATTCCGAATTTCTGGTTCCCCTGATACAATGACAATCGTTCCAGTAGTGGCTGCTTTTGTATCGGCTCCTCTTGCTGCTTCTCCTGATTCTGCTGCTGCTGCTGCTGCTACTGCTGGTGGTTTTGCTGCTGGTTCTGGTGCTGCTACAGCTGCCAAGGCTTCTGTTTCTGCTGCTGGCGTTAAGAAGATTGAATCTGGCAGCAGCAGAGTGTCTTGCCCCCTAAGCCACATGCAGTAACTGCTACCCGTGTTGTTGACAGTGTGATAAACGGCTATGTCCACAGCTACCTCCTTTTCTGATGCAAATTTGCCTCCGGACCCACCATGCACTGGCGAGAACATGGGCAATCCTTATCCCACTGATGAATCCAGCACCACGGATGGTGGCAGTCCCACAGCGGTGCCAGTCCCGTGAATGATCCCATGAGTTCACCTGCAGTTGTGTCGCGAGCATGTGTCAGATTGGTGGTGAGATGATGATCGTTGCTGCTAGGATGACTGTTGCTGAGAGGATACCACAGTCTACGCGGAGCGCAGAGCGGCAGTCTATGCTGCTACCGGAGTGGTGGCTGAACCCACTGACCATGCTGCTGCTGATTTCCATGTTGTCGTCCTCATCCACATCTAGTAGAAGTGCCTCCAGCTCCTCTAGTTCCATCCCATGTACCGATGTCATCATATCATCTCCTCCTTCTCGTCCTTCTCTTGTTCTCATAGCTGCCCCTGCTGCTGCAACTCCCACCCCTAATGTCGCCACCACTGCACCGGTTGGTTCTATCCCTACTGCTGCATCTCCCTCTGCTGTCACTGCCATTCCTGAACCAGCTGCTTCTACCCCTACTGCTGCGACTCCTGTTGCTCCAACTCCCACACCTGCTGTCAAGCTTTCTTCTCCATGATCCATCCCCAAACCATGTGCTACTGCGCCCCAGCTGCTGCTACGGATCATCCCCTCCAATCCACCCCATTGTTCCATCCTCTCTCCTTCCACCCCTTCTCCAGCCACCTCTGTTTCTCTGTTCTCCCACACACTGGTATGCAGCAGGTCACTAAAACACCTCTCATACAGCCTTCCTTGCCCTCCCTGTCCCTCAAGCTCCTCATGCATCGACTGGGGTTGGTGATACTCTAGGCTATGGAAGGCACGGAAGGGCGTATCATACTGGTTGGTGCCTTCACTGGGAGCCTGGAGTGGTAGAGTGACAGCGGGACAAGAAACGCTGCTCTGCCATGGAGGGTCGGGACTGAGTCCCTGCTGCTGAGGCATGTGCTCCTAAGCCCTTTTCCATGGGAAATCAGCCCTGGGCTCGTCCATATGGTCTTGCTTACATTTGGAGACTTCTTCTGCTGCAGGATGTTGCTGCTTCTGCTGATCAAGATTGAGTCTCTGCTGTTGAAGTGTTTGATGCTGCTGCTGCTGCTGCTGCTGCTTCTCCTCCCCCTTCTGCTGCTGCTGGCGTTGCTGGTCCGGGTACTCAGATTTCCCCCCATGCTGTCTCTTGTGCCTTTTCTCCTACTGGGATGCTGTTGAGGGTGCTACAGAGGTTGCTACAGAGGGTGCTACAGAGGTTGCTACAGAGGGTGCTACAGGGGGTGCTACAGAGGTCTCTACGGAGGGTGCTACGGGGGGTGCTACAGAGGGTGCTACAGAGGGTGCTACGGGGGTTGCTACAGAGGGTGCTACAGAGGGTGCTACAGAGGATACCAGAGAGGGTTTTTTTTTTTTTTTTTTTTTTTTTTTTTTGTGGATAAAAGTATACTACACGCATACAAACATCCGCAGTCGTAACTGTTGCTAGGAGGGAAAATGCTAACAGACTAGCACCACCCCCCTTCTTCCCATCTATGGAGGTTGGAAATTTATCCCTCTGTCTTCCCATATCGCTTTGAAATCGGCCCTCCACGTCATCGAGGCCTCCGTGGTGTATACCAGAGAGGGTGCAACAGCTGCATGTAAGGGTGTGTCGAATAAAAGATCACGTGCTATCCCCAGATTCCTTGCTGCCGTGCTATCCTAAAACCCTCCAGACTCAACTCTGCGAGCTGCACCAGCGGCTACCCCCGGAATAGCAGAAGGCGCAACATCTGTGAAAACCACACCAGACCCTGATTCCAAAGCTTGGGTTTCACCTCCAACCAGATTAGCAGCAGGGGCAGCAGCAGCAGAAGCAGCAGCAGGAGGGGCAGGTGGAGAAACAGAAGGAGCGGTGGTGGCAGCAGCACTGGAAGCAGCAAGAGGAGCAGCCCTAGGTAACGTTACAGTAGCAGCATATATGGTGCTGGTGACCTGAGTTCGCAAGAGAGAGTTGAGAATGTCAGCTAGCTCTTGCAGATCCTCAACACGGATATCTGGATCTGCTGACCTGTCACCTTCTTCACCTAAACCAGCAGCAGCAGCACCAGCACCAGCACCAGAAGCAGCACCAGCAGTAGCTGCATAAGCCGTACTATCAGCAGCAGTAAAAGAAGCTGCACTGGTTGCCCCTTCTTGCTTTAGAGCCATCTGCTGTTGGGGGACTAGCTGGGGAGTGATAACCTGCTGCGCCTGCCTGCTTGTCAGCTTCTGCCAGTTCGTTTTCTTCTTGCTGGTTGCTTGCTTGTGTTCTACCTTCTCCCAGTCACCCTTCTCCTGCTCCTTCTGCCCGTCCTGTTGTCTACAGTGCAGTTCTTACCTCCAGTCCTGTTTTTCCGCCATTTTCCGCTTCTTCTGCTCCTTTCGCATCTGCTGCTCCTCTTCCGATTGCTGAGGCTCTCCCATTCCATGCCCGCCGTCCACAACACCATCACTCCTGCCGCTTCCAGGCGGCTTGAAAGATGGCAAGTTCTGGTGCGGGGACACTGTCTGAAGGGGAAGACGAGGAGGTTGAAGAGGACGAAGCGGACAAGGAAGAAGAATACCGAGAGGAGGAAGAGGGGGAGGAGGAGGAGGAGGAGGAGGAGGAGGAGGAGGAGGAGGAGGAGGAGGAGGAGGAGGAGGAGGAGGGGGAGGGGGAGGAGGAGGGGGAGGAGGAGGAAGGAAAGGAGGGAGGAGCAGAGGAGGCAGGAGCAAATCAGCCCAACATAGGGCGAACCAACAAGGCCAAGGCAGGTAAACATCGCGGCAAGAAAACCCCGTTCTCCTCCTTCCTTTTGCCGGCATGTCGCGCCTTAAACGACTGGGGCAATCAGCAGCGGACAGTAGCGCGCAGGGAGAGGGCGAGGCCTTGTGAAGCAATGCAGCATCTTGTGTATGAGGTCGGCCTCATGGTGGTCCGACGCCTCGTGACACCTCTTGCCATGCTCGAGGAACACCTGCTGGCTAACCAGGGCTTGAGCCAAGCGAACGTTGATGCATGGGCTGAGGAAATGGGGCGGAAGAGGAAGGACACAAGGGGCGGTGGTGGTGGGGGAGAGGGAGGATGAGGGATGGGCGTGGGAGGGAGTGGTGGGGCTGTGGGGGCTGGTGGTGGAGTGGGGGGTGGTGATGCGGACGCAGCAGGGGAGAAGAGTGCTGGTAAGAACAGGAGAGCTGGCAAGCGCAAGTCAGAAAACGTGGGTATTATGGTGGGGGGAGAGAACAGGAGTGCTTCGAAGAGGCTCCGGGGCTGGGTGGGAGAGATGGTGGATATGGAGTGGAACAAACTGACTGCTTTCGCCAACCGTCGTTACTCGGGCGGATCTCAGGCACAGGAGGGAGGAGATGCTTCACCTCCAGGGGTTTGACTGGGTCTCCTGGGAAGGGGCTGGAGAAGAGGAGAGGAGGATGGCTGGGGGAGAGGAGAGGAGGATGGCTGGGGAAGAGAAGAGGAGGATGGCTGGGAAAGAGGAAAGGAGGATGGCTGGGAAAGAGGAGAGGAGGAAGGCTGAGGAGGAGGAGAGGAGGATGGATGAGGAGGAGGAAAGGAGGAAGGCTTGAAGAGAGAGGGTTGAGTGAGAGTAGTTTGAAAGATTGGAGGCAGCAAAGAGTGGGGGGGGAAGGGGTGTTAGGGAGAGTAGGGAGAGTGGCGGAAAGGGGGGTGCAGTTCCGGGGTCAGACTGGGTTGCTGTGAGTGAGAGGGCGAATGCAAGGATGGTAAGGGTGAGGGTGGCAGGGAAGGGGATGGGAGGAGGTGGTGTGGTGGGTAGTGGGGTTAGTGATAATGGTGGTGGGTTGGAGGGTTCTGGTGTGGAGGAACAGTTGTTGGGTGGGTATATGGATGTTGAATTTTGATGCTGCTTACTATTTCTTTCAACAGTACTGCTCACGAGCACCTGGTTGCCCTTTTCTTGTAAATTAATTTGTTGCTGAATTCCATTTACATTTTCACTGCCATACAACCAACCCTTCCTACCGTATTACCAGTGCTGAAATATGTTAGGAGAAAAAAACAAAGAAAGAAAGAAGAATAAAAACGTTCTTCCGTCAATTATATGAAGAAAATAGTGAGTCACCACCAATAGATGGAAGGGTTCACTTCACGAGCGCCTCACGTTGCGGGTTTCTTTAAAGGATTTGGCACCCAACCACGTTGTTGCAAAAGCTTTTTGGTCACAGCCACGCAGATTCATCTTCCGCTTCTCCATTGCCATCTGAACTAGTAGGTCCTGGGAAAATCCTCTTCATGTCGTACGTCAGAGCACGCGTGCAATCCGGGCAGTATGTTACCTGTACACCGCCACATGAATACCGTACATAAAATATGCAATTTATATAAATATGGGAGAATAGAACCATGACCGAACCACAGGATGTGGGGCACGAAAATACTCAATAGCATGAAATGCGGGGATAATTGCACGACAAACCTCCAAACACGTGGGTTAAAAGTGCTTATCCATCATCACATTCACACCGTAGATTGCTCGATAGGTGTCGTCATCTGGCTGCATCTCGAAGCTCCCGCAACATTCTCTGCACTGATTGGTCAATGGATTGCCACGTCACTGTAGCGTCAAGCATGCAATAGGCTAGAAGGTTTCATGGGTAGACAGTGGGGAAAGAAACGTGGGGAAGGAACGGTGGGGACGGAGAGTAGGAAAAGGGGGAGGAGGGGAGGAAGGGTGGGAGGGGGGAGGGGAGAGGGAGAAAGCGAAAATGAGGGGGAAGATGTATGCTAGTCACTTGCACGCATGCTTGTATGTGATAGAAAGTGGGATAATTGTTGGATTCGACTCAAAGGAGAGAGGGAGGATAAATCCATTACAAGGACGCAATCAATATGCCACTCCCCATCCACATATCATCATGCCATCACCATGCCATACCCCATGCACAACATGCTATTAGTAACAGCCCGTTACCATGCCACTCCCAATCTATGGCATGGTGACACCACGTCATGTCCCATCTATACCACACCATCCCCCATCCATACCACGCCATTCCCCATCCATACCACGCCACCTCCCATCTGTACGACGCCATCCCCCATCCGTACCATGCCATCACTCATCCATACCACGCCATCCCCCATCCATACCGCTGTGCTCCTGCTCAAACGCCTGCACAAACTCGTGTGTTGGCACGTGCTCGTACTTGTGACCGCTGTAGTTCAGATGAGAGAGATGCGGATGGAGAGAGGAAGGGAAGGATGGAGAGAGGGAGACAGGGGAGGTGATGGCACATCAACAAATGCATGTGCTCAAACTTGTGGCCGCTGTAGTTCAGATGAGAGAGAGGAGGATGGAGAGAGGGATAGGAGGATGGGGACATGCTAGCCACATAGGAGCATGTGTGTGTATTTGTGTGTGTGTATGTGTGTGTGTGTGTGTGTGTGTGTGTGTGTGTGTGTGTGTGTGTGTGTGTGTGTGTGTGTGTGTGTGTGTGTGTGTGTGTGTGTGTGTGTGTGTGTGTGTGTGTGTGTGTGTGTGTGTGTGTGTGTGTGTGTGTGTGTGTGTGTGTGTGTGTGTGTGTGTGTGTGTGTGTGTGTGTGTGTGTGTGTGTGTGTGTGTGTGTGTGTGTGTGTGTGTGTGTGTGTGTGTGTGTGTGTGTGTGTGTGTGTGTGTGTGTGTGTGTGTGTGTGTGTGTGTGTGTGTGTGTGTGTGTGTGTGTGTGTGTGTGTGTGTGTGTGTGTGTGTGTGTGTGTGTGTGTGTGTGTGTGTGTGTGTGTGTGTGTGTGTGTGTGTGTGTGTGTGTGTGTGTGTATGTGTATATGTATGTGTATGTGTGTGTGTGTGTGTGTCCATGTGCGAGTGAATAGGTGCAAATGTGTGTGTGTGTCTCTGTGTGTGAGAGAGTGTTGAACTGTGTGTGTGTGTGTCCATGTCTGTGCTTGTGTGTGTGTGTATGTGTGGGGGTGTGTACACGTGTATTTGTGCGCGCGCACACTGTCGCAATTTCTCTGTCTCTTGTCTCCTCTGTTGTGTCGGAAGGTCCTAGCCCTTTGCTCCTCGTGATGTCTCCCTTCTTTTGTCCATCTCCTCCTTCTTGCCTCACCCAGCTCCTCCTTTCTTCTTCTGGCCCGCTCTCCCTTCCCTCCGAGGGCCTTCTGCACTACTCACTTGCCCCCTCCTCAGCTTCCTTTCGTGGTTCAAGCTGATGGGACTCCCTTGACAGTTGGCAGAGGGGCCCCACTCTCCTCTCCTCCCTTACACTCTTCTCTTTTTGGCCGTGCTTTTGCGAGGTTAGTGATATGGTCCTTCCTCGATTCTCCTTTCTCCCTCACTAGCACCACTTCTTCCAAGTCCTGTACTTCCTTCACTCGACACCTCTCTGTAGTTATCCCCACGTCCAGTAGAACCTTCTTGGCTTGACACATATACACTTCCTTCCCTGGCTCTACACCCTTCTCTCCTCGCCTGTCTGCCTTCTCTCCCCTCTTCCGGTACCTCTGGGCATCTCTCAGTTGTGCTACGTGCAAGTTTTCTAGAGCTGATGGCAGCATCACTCTCAGGTATCGCCCTCCCCCCGGCTACCGCTTACCATTTCTCCTCGGAACCTGCAGTTACAGTGTCAGTCACCAGTTTAGGGGCATCCACCGGCAAGTCTGGCTTCCTCCCCAGCAGCAAGAAGTATGGGGACAGATTTCTCAGCGCCGCCTATTTGCTGAAGTTCTAGCCTGCTGCTACCCATGGCAGCCTCAGGTCCCAGTCCCTTTTGTATTCCCCGTAAACTCTCAGTCCCCTTTTATATCCTTTGCAAAAACCTCTCAGTCAACCCGTCGCTCTGGGGGTGGTATATAGAGGTCCGCTTATAAGTTATCCTTGTGGCCTTGAGTAGCTGTGCAAATTGTCCATGTAACTTTGTTCCTTGATCTGTTGGGACCTCTTCGCATGCCCCGAACCTTGTTAATGACCATTCCTCAAATGACTCTGCTATCCTGGCCGAGTTCTTGCTAGGCAGAGCCCTCACTTCCACCCATTTACTTCTGTGTTCGACCATGATCAATATATATCTCTTCCCCCTCCGGCTCAGAGGCTTCTCCCCAACTAAGTCCGGTGACCATCTGAACCCCAGTCCCCTGATTGGCAGTGACTGCAGCTCTTGCCGGCCTCACTCCAGCTCGGCTCTGCCTACTGCACAGCTCGCCTCCCTCCATCCACTCTTTGATCCCCGCCCACAAGGTGGTCTTCACTAGCTGTTGTGTTCTGAGCTCGCCATAATGCCCTAACTGTCGATGAACCTTTGATACGACCTCTTGCCTTTGCCGCGCCTCTGGTACCACCTTCTAGCCGTCTTTGGTGTTCACTCGCAAATTCTCCTGGTACCAGCGGTAGTGTATACCCCTCGCTCTCGCTCTCTCTGACACCGCCTCTTCCTCAGTGGTTTTTCCTTACACCCATAGCATTACTTCTTCGTCTCCCCATACATCTGTGGGCCCTCGGTCCTTCCCCTACTTGGCTCGCTCCTGATCTATCTCCCGGGCTAAAGCCACCAAGCAAGATGTGGGCCTCTCAGGTGCTGGATTGCGCAAGAGTCTGTCCACATGCTGCATGTTTTTCCTGGGCCGATGGCGAATGACGAAGTCGTATTCCTGTAACCACATTGCCCACCTCGCGTTCCTCCCGGTCAACGCTTGGTCCGTCATGAGTCATGTCAGGGGCTGGTGATCCGTTACCAGAGTGAAGGGCCTTCCCTGTAGGTACACTCTGAAATGAGTGATAGCCCATACTGTAGCCCGCCCTTCCCCCTCGTATGAGCTGTAGTTGGCTTCGGATGGGTTTAGGGTTTAGGGCAGAACCATGCAACAATAGGAAGATAGCAACTGGTAAGGGAACTGGAAACACGACAATCCAGCCAATGGAACGCTGAATGTAGAACAATAGTAGGGATGCACAACTTTGCAGGTGTCTGAGTAGAAGCATGAGTATACTTGAGTGGAAGGCAGAGGTTAATCAAGGACCACGCACCTATCAACTAGTGTCGATTGTTGCCAGGTTCTGGACTGCGCAGTGTGTTGCCTTTGCCAGACTCGAGCTAAGATTTGCTTAAGGAAGCAGGAGCCTTCAGCATCCTTGCTACAGAGGATTATACAGCAGACCCACTTGCTTCTAGGTGCTGCACATGGCCTTGCTAAAACTTCATCCGTCCTCCTGGAAATGCTAAACGTCTAATTGTTAAGGGATGAGTGGGGAAGTAGCATGCGATGGTGTTGGCTGTGGCAGTCCTGCTGGTGGCAGTCCTGCTGGTTGCAGGCTGCTGGTTGCAAGCTGCTGGTTGCAAGCTGCTGGTTGCAGGCTGCTGGTTGCAGGCTGCTGGCTACATGAAAGGTGGCTGCAGTGCTGTGATCTACTGAAAAGTTACATTCCAGCTGGAAGAAGTGAAAAGAGGCTTGCAACGTATTGTAGGAGGGGCGGGCTACCTCTTGCCAACGAATGCTAAAAGAATGCCGCTGCCCCGCTGAGAAATGACAAAAGCTGCTGAATGGTTCTATGTAACCATTCACCTCAGTGCATAGAACCATGCATCTCAGCGCATGGAACCATTCATCTCAGTGC